TTCTATTCATAATACGACTCATGACCGACAAAATAAGTTATGAATCATCATTATTGTTGGTATAAAATATATAAAAAACATATACAAGTTTTTCACCATTCTTACTTGTAAAGTATGTAACTGACTATTTTTATATTATTATCTCTGTTTGTTTAATATTTCTTACTAATGTCCTTTAAATGATTTGTTTAACTTTTGAGATATCTTGGAAAAGGCTATTTAAATCGAAGCATATATCAATAAAATATTCCTCTTAAAAGTGGCAAGTCTCTTACGCAGACTTATCTAAATCGGGTTTTCTATATCAATAAATTGAGTGTGGATGGGAGTGTAATTCTATTTTTCACCCAATCACAAGAAAATGCTAAGTTTATTCAACACACAATTGTTTCATGTGAGAAACGAATGTTTTCATCGCTTGTGACAAATTCTCGTCATCATCTGATGATGTAACGGATAAAGCCTTATTTTCTTGTTTTCTTGATGGGCTCGGTTGCCCGCTTCTAATCGCGCTCATAATTTCTCATCGAAAGCCCTCTAACGCAACAGAGTAATATCACATTGACTCAAATCGTAATCTTTCGCACGTTGAACAATTGGCATAGTCAGATCATTAGTTTTTGTGTCTAATAGAGGCAGCGATGAATCTAATCGTAAGTTCATAGATAACTGCAATGTTCTCTATGTTGAGTATTTTTTCTCGAATGTGCTTGATTGGCCTTAAGGTAAATTAGAATAGGAAAACATTAGAAGACACAAGCAAAGATTGTGCGAGAAATGTGTCGAAAAATAGAAAGAGTGCTTTGAATGGTATAACATCGACGTGCAATGTGGCGAATCATTTTTGTGTGTAGGTTTCTGGGTCATGGTCTGCTAGAAGATAGTCGAAAACGTAAGCATCAAAAGCGAATACAACAGATTCATCGGTCCAGTAGCCGACGAGAAGAGTGCAATGAAGTTGGCGCATTGTTTCAATCAGTTTGAACGGCGAATGGGTGAGTAAAAGAAAACCCTCTACATAAGACATTGCTTGATGGTAGGAGTCGAATTCGTTACGAAGAAACGACAGAACATTCATCATTGTTGTTTGTTGAGCGGAATCCAAAAATGTTTCTTCGGTATCGAGATGGATAATTCGTTCATGATCCAAATTTTTAGCCAAATCATCTTCGTGATTATTGTTGATGCGCTAGAGAATTTTTATGGAAGGTAAAAACAAGCAATTCAAACGTAACAGCGGTGCTTTGCATTCTTCTCTCCAAAAATCGTCCCGCCGTAGCATTTTGAATTGGACACAAGTGCAAGCACAAATTATTGCTTGCTTTTTTTTATTGTTTTCTTCAGACTGTCTTATTCGACGCTTTCGCAATTACATGATTCATTCATCTAACATGTTTTACATGTGTTCTTCGCTGTAGTCAGACAGGAGCGTGCGACGATGGCTATCGTCATCCAACTTGAGTCTAATTAAAATGTAAGTGAAAATAAATGACGGGACGTTGTGCGCATAGGAATATATAGCACATTAAATGTTGTTCTCTCTCCTGAATTCTGATTCCACATCAAAACTGAGTGAGAGAGAAACAAGAAAGAAAGGACATCTAGAATGCATAACAGCGTCGAAAGCAAACATATATTCCTGTTGTCATCACCAATACATTGAAGAAAAATCTATTCAGTAAAATCAATAAGATAGATAAAGTTAAGAAGAGAAAGACAGGAACGAGAAACAGAACGATTGATAGGAATAACTGTCACTGTTCCAACAGTGGTAAAGTTTTCTCTTTATACGAAGTGTGGGTGTGCCTCAGTTTGGTGTTGATAAACTTTCAGGAAAAACTGAATCTAATGTTATTCTAATGTCATCGATTAATTTCAACATGATTCTGAATACATATACCCTTAAAAGTCTGATGATTATGAAAAATCTTGGGTGTAAATAGTTCTCATATTATTATGTTTATATACCAAAACTGTAAATAGTTTAAAAATTGAATATCTCGGTGTATGTTCGATGTGGGATGTCATATTTAAAATTTGTTAAATTGGTGGTGGGAGTGATAATTTGGCTCTAACATTGTTAATATTCTTGCATTTCAATACAAGATGTTCCTTTGTGAGACGAAGTCTAAATCATGGTAGCAGCACTCACTAATTTGAACTGAAATTCTCATATATTCTTTTTCTATGAAGATCTACGTCATTTTACAATTCAATTCTTGTGATTTTTAGAAACTACTTACAATTTTTGTCCTCTGAGAATTATTTTAACAGGGATGACATTCAGATGATGGCAAGCTTGACTCACGTATTCACTCTTAGCACGTTCATTCGAAAGATTCGTTAGCTAGGGTTTAGATAGCAAGCCATTTGACAAGTCTCTTCAGCGAGAATGAAGTCGCAATCATGCTTGCTTCCAGACTCATGCCAGTACTCTTATCCTCTCTTTCCATACATGAAAAACTCAATCTTCAAATTCGTTAGCATCAAAGTTTAACTGATATTCTATTCTATCATCTGTTTGGACAATTATGTTAATTGAAATAAACGTAATAGAAATGTTAGCAACAAAGACACTGAAGTTCATTTCGTTATCTTGAATTTGGTCTGCAGAACGTTGAATCATTGTCGTCACTCCTGTTCATACTTTCGTTTGTGGCTAACTATCATTCGACTTGACTGAATTGCACTTTTATCGAGTCACACCTCTAGAGAATTCCAGTTTCCTTGATATGTTAAATTTTTACTGTTCTGCTGAAGCCATTGCATGATCTTTTCAAACATTTGTCTCTACAAGACATGAAAATGAATGCACCTGTTAAATGTTTTGTGAATTCTAATAATGCGAGAATTGTTGTCACTTGATGGGTATCATATATTGTTACACCTTCTAATGTTTCACATGAGAAGGTATTATCGAATAGATACATTCTGCCGGTATCACAGAATCTTTTAAGAAAAACTAAACTGTATTACAAGTGAAAAAATATTGCGTGCTTGTTTCAGGAGAGCAATGATGTCAGTCATCATGTCTGCATTGAACCGAATTTCGAAATTTTCTACCTTGAGGTAAACAAGTTGTGAAAGACCGATAAAGGTTGACAGAAACTCAACCAATACCAAATGGCCAAGGTTTCTCTACGGTTAGTTCGAGTTGGGCCGTCTTGCGAAATAAATAACATGTCGACTGTTCAATCTACAAAAAAGAACAAGTACATCAATTTTAACTTCGTGATTTAATTAAACAACCAGTTTTTTCAACTAGTATCGTGACGTGACAATCTACTGTTTCTTCAATGATATACTTATACATCTAAATACTAATTTCCATATCGATCATCTAACTGACAATAGCCGTCATGAAACTGATGAATTTGACCGAAAGTAAAACCTATAGAAGAAAAAACATCGAAAACACTATTAATGAATCTTCAGCACACCCTTTCACCAACACTGCATGAATCATTTGCAATAGCATCCATATCTACCACTTATTTATGAAGAGCATGTGTTGAAACTGTATTAATAACTTGAAGGATATTTTTTTTCTTTCGCCGTTTTTTATTTGCGGCTGTTTTTCGTTCTACAAAATTCATACATAGCATGACTATCACCTGGTTTCGGCTTGAATATAACAGAACAGACGAGTTCCGACTCAACACAACCCTGCTGTTTTGTTTTAATCGGTGATAGTTTTACGGAAAAGATCTCTTTTCTAACATATCGCTTCACCGCTTGCATCTGTTTCGAGCCGACACCGGTCCTGAGTCTACCTCGGCTACGAAATATCTCTGTAATACACGTGAAACCAATTCATTAAACTTTTTCAGAGAACTGACGGTCGATAGTGGTCGGTAGAAAGCCTGTCCACTGTGTGTACAGACTGTTTTGATTTTTTCTTGTTTGTGACATTTCAATAACATTTTCTACTTATCTTCAAGCGATTTGCAAGATATATACTAAAGTATCTTAGACTCCATTGCAGCAGTCGAAACTTTTGGGGTATTCATAGAAAGCTTTTTGACATTATCCATTATTGATGCATCATTGTCAAATTATTGCTGGTGAATTCGAACAGGATATTTTCATTGACTCGGGTACGTAATTTAGATGCGAACAACAAATTGGTATCGAATAGAGTCGAATTTCACTTGAGTTTTCAATACTATGTTCGCAAGTAACAAAGCAACGTTTGATTTTTAGCCAGAATCGAGTTCTAAACGGCGCAATGATTGATTCAATAATACTTGAGTTTCGTTCAGTGAAATCCCGTTGTAAGAGAAAAAATTCGAATTTGTTCAATAATGGTAGATTTGCCTGAATATATTGTTCTCATCGATTACCTTCTAGAGAACTTCTGCTACCGATCAACTTTAGATGAGCAAGTGAAGGTGTCATTGACAATATTAATTCGAGCTTATGCATTTCCATTGAGTAATCTTCGAAGATCAATAAAGTTATTTGTCGATAAGGTGTTAAAATAGACGATTTGATATTTGTAATATTACCCAATACGAGTGTCCGAATGTGAGATAAGTTGTGGAGAATAGGATATGGTGTCGATTGAGCGAAAATTATAATAGCGAAAGGGATTTTCAGCGAAAAAAAAAGCGCGAAAAGTATAATAGCGAAAAATAAAACGCGAAAGACATTTTCAGCGAAAATAAAAACTGCGAAAAGTAAAATAGCGAAAACTCGAAGTTTTTTTATTAGGAAAAAAACTGACTGCTGAAATTAGAGAAATTTTTTCTTGATAAGATCCAATTGTTTGCTTGACGATGAATCATCAAGCTGATGTGTGTGCATATATGACCGCACTTGTCCGTTTCACTCTTCTCGACGTGTTAATCTATTATATTCTTTTTTTTACGATATATAATCGTCCGTAAGTGATGTTACGTAGTTCACTTATATATATAATTCATTTAGTCCATTTCACTAACCAGTGATGAATGAACCGACAATACTCTCTTTTACCACTTCAAATCGAGGGAAAACGAATGCTTATTTATTCAGGCTATGTTTATCGACTAAAAAAGTCCACAAAAAATGTTAAGTACTGGGTTTGTCAATCAAATAGCTGTGCAGCGAATGTTCATACCAATGCAAGTGATCAATTCGTTAAAGCTAATGGGCAACATCAACATTTGCCTGCACCCGAACGTATTGAACTTCGAGATCTGAAAAACAAGGTAAAGGAGAGAGTGAGGACTGAAGCGACTTCAGTGCCCAAAATTTATGAAGAAGAATTAGCTCGTTCTAATATCTCTTCAGCTGCTCTTATCCTCGCACCACTTCCTGCTGATGCAAGTAAGTTGTTTATCTATTTTAATTTCTTATATGTCGCTGTTCTTTATAGAATCTGTTTTAAATCGTGCTCGCCGTAAAATAACTCCACCGATACCCACATCAAGTGATTTTGATATTCCTGATTTATACCGGCAAACACTCAATGGTAAACCATTCGTATGTACCGATAGGTTTATCAGAAACAAACGAATGATTTTATTTGCGACTGATCAACAACTTGAAACGTTGTTTTCATCTGAATGGATTTTTCTCGATGGGACATTCGATGCATGTCCATCGCAATTTAAACAACTCTATACAATCCATTCCTTGAAATTCCAACAGAGTGAGTCATTGATTATTCCAAGCTCCTACTGTATACTGTCGTTTAGATTTTCCATGTGTTATAAGTCTGCTTTCAGGAAAATCTACCGATGTATATCTACAATTATTTTCTGAGCTTGAATGTCACGCTGAACGATTAAATCTCAAATTTGAACCACAGCATGTCATGTCAGATTTTGAAATGTCTTTGATCAAAGCCGTTAAACAAAAGGTTGGTGTTTTCTAGATTTATGATTAATTTTCATTTTTTTTGCTTCACTAGTTTCCAATGGCAACACATCATGGTTGTTACTTCCACTATTGTCAATCACTTTACAAACAAGTTCAACTACTCGGTCTAGGCACAGCATATTTTGAAGATGAAAGTACACGTTTATCTTGTCGAAGCACAATGGCTCTAGCTCTTCTACCCATCGAACTTATAGAAGATGCTGTACACCTTCTTGAAGATGATTCACTTTCAGAAATGAAAGATTTCTTTAAATATTTTAAATATCAATGGTTAACGCGAGTGCCTCCAACATACTGGAATGTGTCAACCCTCGAGTTTCGTACTAACAACTTCGCCGAGGGTGAGCTTTTGTCTTTTCTTGAAAAGTGTGCATCTCTCTTTTGTCACATAGGTTGGCACAATAAGTTCAACAACCATGTCGGCAAAACTCATCCGAACGTTTGGAGGCTGTTTGGATGTTTACAACGTGAAGAGTTATCATTTCGACAACAATTAGGAAAAATTAATTGTGCTATGAAGAAGAAAAAACACGACACAGGCTGCTTTATCCGAACACAAATCGCAACTCTAACAGAACGTCATGAAAAAAAACAAATTACTCTATTGGAATTCATTAATGGCTTATCAATGATCGTGGCTCAAAAGTCTACAATTGCTCATTAATTTTATCACTCAAATACTTTATTTCTAAATCGGCAGTTTATTATATCATTTGATGCTCATGTATTACATTTCTTTTAAGTTAAAAAAAAATATTATTTTTCATGTTAAGTTAAACTGAAGATTTCTCTATTTTACACTTCTCTGTTTTACCCTTCACAATTCGCTCAAAATATGTTTTCGCTGAAAAACTTTTCGCTAAAAGAATCTTTTCGCTCAAAATTCTTTCGCTGTTTATTTCGCTCAAAAATTTTCGCTCAAAAATTTTCGCTCAAAAATTTTCGCTAAAACGTTTTTCGCTGATTTGCCACCATACCGAGAATAGAGTAGAATTGATCGAATTCTATTGATTTGATTATTCTAAGATATTGAACTGTGCATTGAACAGGCCAACTTAATGTTCGTATTCTAATATATTCAGTGTCTAAGTTAAAGCTTCGGGGATTTTGTTGCATCAGATCTGATGACATAAGAGCTGCTGTCTTGTTTGTACTCCGATTGCCATACTTTATTACGTTAAACGAGAGTGAAGCTAGTGAAATTATATTGATACGTTGTAAAATATGATTGAGATGATATTCTTCGATTGCAAACAGTGTTAACGAACGAAGTTAATTGAATTGTCGAATAGAAAATAATGAAAGAAACATTTCAATTTGACCTAGTGTATGGCTGTCATCGGATAATATGAGTGAGACTATATTTGAGAGATGAAGCTTTTGATATATATTGTAAAAGCGTGGCTTTGATATCGATTTTAGATCCAGCCTGTACCGATCATATGTATTCGCGATTGCTTTCAATCGTCGGCATGTATTTTGAAGAGACAGAATAATTGTTTCTTCATCAATATAATAATAAATCTGGTGGAGAATTTCAATTGGTGGAGTGTGAAGAGAAGGAGTAACAGCATTCGTCGACATGTTTAAGTTATTTTGTGCATTTTTGCATGCGTATATTACAACTGAATATTATCATTACACAACTGACCGCCAATAATTTATTATTTTCAAGTTTGAGTCACCATTGAAAGGACAGAAATACTTAATCACTTCTGTGATAAGAAGAAGAAATGAAAGAAAAATCTGTCATGCTTCTCTATAGAGAGAATATAGTTGAAACTACGAAAAGCGAAGAATAAAACTTGCTACTGCAACCTATTATGAAATCACAATGTAGGTTCTAAATCAAGTTCACACAAGTCACACATCAAGAGAAAAATTTTCTTCAGTTTTCTTATACGTTATACCATAGACCGTGAATTGCTGATCACGAAAACTATCGTCGATCCAAAAATATAATAATTACGATTAGTTATTCAATAACTCAATGATAGAAAATATTGACTTTGTTCTTAACGTCTACTCTTCATCTTTCCAAGAATTAAATATGATTATCTTGAGTTTTATATTGATTCATGAATTTAAAATGTGCAAAAGATAGTTCCAACGGTATTTTACAACATGACGCAATGCTGATCTCTGTAGCTACTACGATACAAAAATGACACATATTTTTCTGTAATTTATTCATGTACTTTTTCTCAATAGGATAAACTACGAATATTTATAGCAAAGCACATTATTGATCATGGTTTAATTCGTAACAATGATTGCTCTACGTCTCGAATAACTTTCATAATTAAAGATGAAGAATTAAATTGTGCAAAAACAATATGAATTCAAAATATGCGATTAAGACTTAGAAAAAAATCAAAAGAGTTTAATTTTATGAGCAATAGATTGCATCACATTAGTCATCCATAGAGATGAAGAGTGTGGATTTGAGTTTGATCTTCTTCAATCACTCACATTCACATTTCATCTTTATCTTTAAGAACAGTTCCAATGTGTTTTTACAATTAAGTTTCGCAAAGTCTGTGCTAAAATCTGTTATCAACAAATACAATGAACGACATGAATTTATATATTCTCTTTTGAACAAACCAAGCAAGACATTTCACATAATTCAATGTTAACAATCGCCGAACTCATCTATGATCCAAAATACTAACACAAAAATGCTTGCTGAAACAAGAAACTACTGTAATATATAACGTTTTCTGAAGTAAATATATCGGCAAACATTCAATATTCTTTCATTCTTTTTTTTATAGAAATATTTAAAAGCTCTCTCTCTTCTTCGTTTTATTCAATGACGTAGAAAGCACATTAAAATAGGTGAACATGGGGACCTGTTTTTGCTACCTACATTTGCAATTCATATGGGTAAGCCCCATGGAATCAAAAGCGTATGTGTTCGACTACGAACAAGATAGGATGTGGGTGTATGCCGTGTTTCTTTTTATTAACATTCACACCCAGTTGAGATTGGGAAGCGCAAAAAGAAAAAAAAAAGAAAATATATTAATATATAATATCTTTTTCTTGTAGTAATACTAGAAAAAGGTGTGAATGTGTGTGGAGGTGTTGGTGAGGGTTTGGATGTGCGGTGGGTGTGGATAGGGATATCTATCAAAAGACCAACTACATTCCCAAGCAGACTCACACCCACGCTCTTATTCTATCATCTACTGGCAGTCATATTCCACACCTACACTTTATGTTCATTTATAATTTCTCTGGAAACTGACGTATTTTCAACATGATAAATACTAGTCCTTACATCATTTGTGTAATGTGACTTATGATTTCAACTTTTTAAGTTACACGTCACTAAGCAATTTTATATTTTGTAAAATCGAAAAACTTTCAATACGACTTCAATTTTTGATCATTACTGGTTTATCGTTAGAAAGTTCAATAGATTAATATTATTCGAGATACTATTGTATCGTCACAGCACACAACGTACAAGGCAACTTATGACCTTACTTTAACGTACGCCTTGCGTATCCTATTTCACAGATTCGAAAAAGGTTCACAAGTTAATATTTTAACGATGCATTTTGTAAAAGTGAGAATGCATAGATAACACATTGAAAAGTCGGACCGAATGTGTTTTATTTTCTATATAGACAACCTGAATAGGTCTATAGGATGTTCCTGATGATTACTTGAGGATCAAATTTTTGCAAGAGCATGATGATGCAATGTTCTTTTTGCCATTATGCTTCTTTATATCTTATCAAAGTGAACAATCGAGCGTTGTAATTAAGCTTGTCTTGTTCCATAGGGCAGCAACATTATTATTTGGATGATTCTATCAAATCTACCACCAATGATTTAAAGCATTTGTGTTACTTAGACGCCTTGCAGTTGTTTCAAACTATCACATGACACGGTCATTGTTGTCAATGAATTTATATCAAAGTTGTGAACAATGTTTGATTTCTGCGTGTTAAACTGTAAAATACTAAGAAGTCCTGAAAATTGATTAACTAACAGATTGAGTTCTCGTTATTCACATGTTTCTCGTTGCTATTATCAACGATGTACGATAAGTCTTGCATCATTGCACGAACACGCCTGATATCCTTTCTATTTCTGAAGAGAGCATTCGTTTGTTCAAGTATTTTTATGATCTTCTAGCGTTCACGAGTCCAGATTATAAAGCAAACTTCTGAACAAGGATTGCGCCTAACTTCTTGGGAAGTGTGAATTTTGGGTATGGATGCTGTAAGAGAGAAGATTATTATATACACTCATCCACACATACCTACATCTAAATACAACTATAGATTCTTATCATTGGACTGTAGCCAAGGGTGACCACGGTTGTGTTTAAGAAAAGATTTTAATTAGTCGTGATCGTTCCAAAATAATCATAATCATGTACATCTTTCAATAAAACAAATAAATGAGAAGTTCTACTCTCAACTAATGTAATCGTTTGGCACAATAAAAACGGTTTTTGTTGTTGTTGCTTCTCGTGAAAAATATGTTTATACATTTGGACTCACAATCGCACTTTTGATTTCTCTTAAGATCGAAACCATTATAGAATCTATTGAAGATACAATTAAATTTATGTTTACTTTAATTACTTCGTATTTTTATTTCGGACAATTTAAAAGCCTGCTCCACTGACAACAAAGTAAATAATAATTTATCACTCATGTGTATAAGATTTTAAAAAGATGAAATAGAAATAAAGTCAATCAGAAATGTCTATTCCAGTGCCATTTACATCAAATCACGATCTTCGATGAATTAATTTAATCAATCGTTGAATTGTCTTCTGAAATTCACAATTATAAGTTTTTGATGGTAAAACAAACTCAAATAATGTTAAAATTGATGGTATCAAGGACACGAAATAGTAAATCAGATATAATCAAGGTTCACGTGCTGATTTCATACTGAATGAAATAATAAGACGTGATAAACTTAATAATAACAAAGTAATCGATGCAACAATTATATTTTTCTATTGTTTAAATTTCATTTGAAAATGTCTATTGAATGATTTTTTTAAATCGCCCTTAGAACGAATAAAAAGTTGATACAATAAGAATTACAAAAGTGGATATGAAATTGATTACAAATGAGCAAGAAAATGAAAGAGAGTCGTAAATGTGTTGTTTCATCTCTCGAGATGAATATTGAGATGAACACCATATTCGCTGTTGATCTCTATCTAATTCATTAATCAATTTTCGATGAAGTGAATCATGAATATGTGTAATTATCATTAAAATAATTATAATAAAAATCGTATATTTAGCTATTTTCTTACTCTTTGCTATAACTTTTGATAACACTAAACATTCTTTCAATAGCATTAACAGAATTCTTTCAGTTGAAACACAATTAATAAAGAATATTGATCTATTAGTAATGACTGATATTTGTGAAAGAAAGAGATGCCAAAATTGATATGCTAATACAACAATCATACACAATGAAGTAATTGATGATACTAAAAGGTAATAGCTACAATCGACTTCTCTCGTTTTTTTTTATTAGAATGTTGCGATAGAAAATAAACCTATGATCAATTGTGAAATGAGCATAATTGTAATAATAGCAATGCTTATTTTGGCAATACATGGTTGTTGATGAAGTGAAACATTTGATTTGATATGATATCCAATAATTGAATCGAGTGAGAAAATGAAACCTTTTGTTGAAAATTTATATTTTGTTCCAGAGGAATTGTTATTAAAAACACAAATAAATATTGTTGGACAAGTTTCATTGTTCAAAAAACATTGGTTATCATTATAACAAAGACTTCCACTACAAAAATATTTTATCGTATTATTAAATTGTAAAACAATTTGAAAAACGATCTTCATCGCATATGCACATGTTATATTCATCGTAAAAAGACATCAATTATGCATATTTGACTCGCCGTAGATATACCTACTGACGAAACGTATCATTAAGTAGATCAAGAACTGGGCAACAACATATTGTTTAATAATATTTTGGATTAAATATATTCTGATGATATGAATATTTCTCGTAAGTGAGTTAGATAATAATCACCTGATCAATTGAGATGTGAATCACCTAATTCAGAGAATTCTCCAATGGCTGATTCCTGATATTGATAGTTTCTACTCTACAAGAAAAAGCCAATTATGACTATATTCTTAGACAATCACCGTCAAAATGCCCTGGGAGATGTGTAGCGAGCGTCACTTGCTCAACGTAAATAAGCGGACAAGTAGGATTTAAATACTTTTGTTCGTCGAAAATAATTGTTTCTCTTACAGCAGTTGTTCAATGAACCATCTACTGCCGTGAAGTATCACAGTAAGAAATAAACTCAAATAATTCGTTCTTTTTTTTTGTTAGAAAACGTACGATTGGCACTAGTGATTGTTCTAGTATTTTTCAATAAGTGATTTTTATCAAAGAAAAAACGAAATATGTTCTTGTAAATAAAATTTGATCAGAATATGTCGTTATTTTATGCAATACTTCTGTTTTATTGAATATTTTTTTAATGCATATCTTAAGACTAGCGAATGAAAAGAATTAGCAAAAAAAGAACTGCCAGAATCATGGGGTTCCAATGTTTTATGTTAAATAAGAAAAAAAAAAGGATTTTCCCCAGTTGAGTTGGCTGAATGTAGGGTGTGAGCGTTGATATTCTCATTGCAAAGATTCATACCTCAAATCGAACCTTAACTCTACCATTTTCTCAATACATATTAGATTGAATCTGAGCATTAACATAAGTAGAATAGGTATTTATGAGATTGATGGAATTTGTCATATCTAATCTGTATTTGTGTAGAAAATTCATTGATATTTAGTTCTCTACATGAATTTCGAAAAGAACTTTCTTCATATCACTATTTCTATGTCAAATAAAGGTTTGTTAAAATTTGGTTCAAGAACATTGTAATAATAAATTGTACCTCGATATGCAAATAATTAAAACTAATATTAAATTTATTTGTATGTAAATGAGTGTTTTTCCTTGCGTTTCTTGTTCGTAGCTGAACATTTTCCTTTATTGGTTCATAATTTTAATAAAAAAACAAAAGAATTTATAGGTAAAGACTCTATTAAAGAACCAATTACTGACATGTATCAACAATGTTTTAAAATGAGGGTGTAGATATATAGTGTTTGGGTGTGACTTGACATATTATCCATACCCACATCCTTCAAAAGTTATCCACTTATCATCATAAATGACTCACGATAAGTCAATTAAAATTGACCTAATAGAGTTTCTACATGAGTACCTTCGTTTCTTTACTTCATCATGAAATCAATATTTTGGGTACAAATATATTGACATCGATAATTGTCACGAGATTCATCTTAAGCATCTTGTCACTTCAAGTGAAAATAGTGCCAGAAATTAAAATGTGATTCATCCAATGTTGGAACATCTTCTGGATGATAATTGTTGGAAAAAACCACCAATGTATCAGTCGATGCTCTGAGAGTTCGATGAAAAAATTTTTTTTCAAGAGATCAATTAATAAAGAGAAGGCAGTGACTAATTCCGGATGAATCATGTCGAATTGTATGCTCAAATGCAAGCAAAGAATGTTTTAGATACAATTTCGATCATAATCAAACCTCATCTTAGAGACACATATTCGAGTGTGTATATATGATGAAAATTCACATCATCACATGTCGTAGAAAACTAATATTATCGCGATATTGTTGACGCAGTTTTACGACATTGTTTTTTATTTTTATCAATTCGACTCTTTTGATAAAGTATTCATTGTTGACTGTCAACGACATTTTCTTTCCACCAAACAGCATTACACAATCATGGGTACAAATACGACGAATACATTTTGTCCTTCGAATTTCGTTTTTGATGGAAACAATGGCAACCGTGTCTAACAAAAATGTACCTTCTCTTCTCACATTACCAGCCAAGATTCTTCATTACATTTTTGATTTTTTTTTATGCCGCATTATTGTTTTTTGTAATACCCAAAGTTTGTAGAAGACTTTCAGCAGTTTCCAATGAATACAATCGATAGAAATTGTCGTTCAGGGCTGAACCTAAACTCAAAGTTCAAGTCATGTATCGTTTCTTTCCACCCGAGACTGTTGTTGGACTTTCTCTTATGGGTTTCGCTGGGTATCATACAATCGAATTGTTTATGTCACGTGTAGATATTCGTCAATTTATTCGGCTTCGTTCATTAGCTATCTCGAATGTCTCTGACTCTAATCTCAATACAATACTACGACAGATCACTACTAGTTCTCTCACATCATTATCGATTTCGTCGTTAATGATCGAAAGCGAAGACACAGCAGCTCTTTTATCATCAATTATTGCACAAACCAATCTTGAGGAATTAAATATGACCGATGATTGTTATGAATTGTATTAGATTTCGTGGCCTGCGCATCACACATTAGGAAAACTAGCAATTTGTAATTGTATCAACGAGCAGATCTATATTATTCTTCGAAACTCACTAAATCTTCGTAGTCTGGCAATCGATTTTTGGAATTGTTGGAAATACGAGAGAACTATTATCGTTGAGCCATTTGAGCGATTGACTTCACTGACCATCCATTACGCAACAGTACCATTAAACCAGCTCGAGTATTTGCTTTCTCTGACACCTTCACTAGTTGATCTACACCTCAAAGATATGAGAGTTTCATCCGGTATGCATTGTATTTCTGAGTGGGAGAAGTTGATCTCGACAAAATTAACTCGGCTAGAAAAATTCGAGTTTTGCGTCATCTGCCATTATGACAACTTCACATGTATTGAGTAAGTGATTGTTTCTTTTCGAACACCGTTTTGGCTCGAACAAAAACGATGGTTTGTCACTTGCACATACTATCCTAGTGATAGATGTTCGCCATTCATGATGCGTTCTTCAAAGGTTTCTCAAGATTCCTATCCAGAGTTACCTTTTGATGGCAATATTACATGTTCGACTTCGACTGAAATAGAGAGTGACGCAACAAAGATCATACCTGTATGGAGTATATGTTTAGATGTGGATTCAGCGTTGTTTATTGACTCTTTAAGACAAGTATGTATGTAATAGGCTTCGAAATTGGACCACTTTTCGATGACCCGACCCGATCCGTATTAGATCAAGAATTTCTCATGCCCGCCCACTTTGCCTTCTACTCTATCGAGGTCTGGTTCGACCCAACTTAGAATGACACTATTAAAGTCAATTTCTTTAACAAAAACGATTTCAACAAGATCGAACTCCACAAAAACCAATCATTTATGAGAACATTGTAAAAATTATATTATCATAGTGATCTCTAGTTGAATAAGGTCGGGCAATCTTAATGCTTTGAAAAAGTGCATGAGGGTCAAGTCGAGTTACTTATTGAACCGAAAGAACATGATACGTTCGTAGATACTCGAATTTTCTGGAGATTATCATTTATTAACACAAGCTTTCAAAAATGAATAGACTGCTGATCAATTTCAAAGACTAAGACATTTTAATAACAAAACATGAGAATTTTGTTCAATATTAGTAAAATAAGTCGATATTGATTTAATTTGATTTTTTATTTTTGGAATTTTCGATCTTAAACGATCATCATCAGCTATAAGAAGGGCGTGGGTGGGTGTGGGTGTGGGTGTCGATGTCGGTGTGGGTGTGCGTGGGTGTGGGGTGTGGATGTGGGTGGGGTGTGGGTGGGTGTGGGGTGTGAGTGTGGGCGTTCATCGGGCTTTCGTTCACACCCACACCGACACTCACACCCACACCCATACCCACACCCATACCCACCCACATCCACACCCATACCCGAAATGAAATGCACTGTACGTTCTCTCTGATTGTGCAACTCAAGAGATCAGCACTCACCTCTACCGCTTGTTCTGTGAATATTCTTCGTGATGAGTCACACACTCTTCAAAGTGTCATGTTGCCGTTTATGTGTGCACTATATTAACATAGTTCCTCCTAGTAAAAAATATTTCTAACATACACTATAGTCGAACGGCAATGCCTTCTGTCTCACACATGTGGCCAGATTTTGTGTATTGTGGTGTAAGTCTTTCATGCTATTTTCTCATCTTCATTATATATTGGCTTTATGATCATCCTAACTCGTCTTTAATTCTGGTAACGTGTTTATTTGCATCCTATATGTTATGGCTTTGGAAAAGATGCAAGCCCAACTTCATAATTTGTCTATTGCTAGTATTCTTGTTCGTGCTTGTTATCGCTGAAGTAGCTCAAATATTTACTTTGGTGAACCAGTTCGGAGATAACGATAAAAGATTATATTTGACTTTCATCTGTTTGGTCTTCGACGCAGTGAATGTATACCTTGGATTTATATTGTGCATGATTTATTTACATGGATTGGAAACGTACAATGGAGAAGCATCAACAATATCTTGGTTTCGGAACAAATGGCATTCCACGTTCTCAATTTGGTAAAAGAAATCGCGATTAATTCTGATTTATCGGAACTATAATCGTGCGCTTATAAGGAATGATTCGAGACTTTGTAGGCGATTTCTGTCCTCCCTTGATTGATGAATATTTTTATTAAAACAAATAAACGCTGACATTATCCGATATGAATAAACAAGATCATAGGAACAAAAAAATAATAATAGATTATGCGATTTTTCATGAGGGGTGGGTGTGGGTACAGTTCTGTTACTACAACACTCACACCCAAGGCTTCAGTCATGTGAATTATTACAAGAACTCGATTGAAATTTTCTTTCTTCGAACGTATATCTCGTTATACATAGTGCTCTATTTCTGACAAAAATTTCAATCTGGTCAGTTGTATTCTCTTCTGACAGCAGACAAAGCAATAAACAAGTGGCAGCACCCTTACATTAGGTTTCACAATACTCCTTTTCTTACATAAATATCTTTTCTATCATGGTTAAATTTCAACTTTTCAAACTATGGAGAACAATAGTCATGCATTTCCAACATGGGTGTGGGTGTATGCCAGAGAACCCAAAATACAGATTCACACGCACACCTCACACCCATCATTAATGAGTTTTTATTGTTCGGTAGATTGGTAGCGAGTCAGTGCACAAGTCAAATTCTTTCAGTTTTTGTTTTTGCAAAATCACCACATTTTAATTGAAAAACGTTGAAGAAATACGAGGATGATAACTTCAATTTAGCTGAAAGAAGAAAAAGGGTATGTTACAATTGTACAACACTATCGACTAACTCCAGTCATCTCATTGTTTTCAGAAGGGAATTGAGTGTGGTGGCACATGTTCCCCTATGATCGATGCTGCTACAGTGCTCTACAATAGTGTGCAATGCTGAGTCAAAAAAATCAATTGAAGTCTCTTCACAAAATTTCAGCACTGAAACTCACCTTGTGAACAATGGATAGTTGAAATTTTCAAATGACATGTGTAACTGTTGGAATAAAAATATGAGAGTGTTATTTATTACTGAACTTAGTCAAACCAGTTTTTAATGGCCTGTCCAATGATATATTTCTTTTCTAGATCATATGTGTGCCATGTGTATAAATACAAAAAATTATTCAAGCTGATTCCATTGTGTATTTTTCAAGAAAAAGTCTTTATCATTTTGAATAAAACCCCATTTTTTGATCGCAATAATGACTATATGTGTCATTCATTGAATTGCTTGAGTCACTTTTTCTTTCTATTCTGTACGTTATTCTTTCGCAATTACAGCTGTATGTAATGTCGCAAGTTACACGGTTGTTCTTTCGCAATAATTTTCTACAACAGAGTCGAGCAGTATAAAAACACTTGGTGTACTTCATTTTATTATCAAATTTCCAGTACTTATGAACATACAAAGGTAGTATTTCTTACCCGCAAACTGTTCGCCTAATCTCACGTCAAAAACTAACAAAGCAAATTTACATCATGTCAAGACAACGTGCTCAAGCTGTATCCGAGACTATGTCGAAGCCGAATAATATTCGTAATATGTGCGTTATTGCACATGTTGATCATGGTAAATCTACACTGACTGATGCTCTCGTGTGGAAAGCAGGCATCATCACTGAGCAACAAGCTGGTGAACGATGTTTTACAGATTCTCGCGATGATGAACGAGAAAAAGGTATTACTATCAAGGCTTCATCAGTGAGCATGTATTATACACTCGACGATCAAATACTCGGTTAGTAAATGAAATTAATTAATGAAAACGTAAACAACTTACTTTTTGTTATTGTCGTGTATATAGGAAATCTCAAACGTGATGGCAATGGTTTTCTAGTCAATCTTATTGATTCACCTGGTCATATTGATTTTTCGTCTGAAGTTACAGCTGCTCTGCGTGTTACTGACGGTGCGCTTTTAGTTGTTGACGCTGTCTCTGGTGTTTCTGTTCAAACAGAAACTGTTCTTCGGCAAGCTCTAGCCGAACGTGTACAGTTAACATTGATCATCAACAAAATCGATCGATGCATTCTCGAACAACAATTAGAACCGGAAGAACTATATCAAAAATTGTCATCAATTGTTGCTCGTTGTAATGCTCTCATTGCTACTTATCGCAGTACGGATGATGCTATCTATTCCGATGATCATTTTAATCCAAAAGTAGGCAATGTATCCTTTGCTTCTGGCAAACATGGTTGGGCATTCACTCTACCACAATTCGCCACAATTATTGCCGAAAAAACTAAAGTCTCGAAAGAGAAATTAATCGATCGTCTATGGGGTGAATCGTTCTATTCATCTACAAGCAGAAAATGGTTCCCGTATGATCAGATAAATTCGTATGACGATGCAAAACGAGGCTTCAATCAATTCATTCTTCAGCCTATATATCAAATGCTCAAGGCTTGTTCGAGCTTGAATATGGATGAAATTCGAACATTACTAGAAAAAGTTGATGTTCGTTTACCATCCGACAAGCTCGATACTAATTTGCACGATGCCAAAACAATCATGTCCAATGTCATGAAACGCTGGTTGCCGGCTGGTGAAGCAATGCTTCATTTGATTGTACTTCATTTACCATCACCTATACAAGCTCAAATGTATCGTATTCAACATCTGTACGAAGGCCCACAAGATGATCAAGCAGCATGTGCTATGAAAACATGCGACCCGAATGCTGAAGTCATGATTTATATTAGCAAGAAAATTCCGGCTCAAGATGGTTCTCGTTTTGTTTGTTTTGGTCGAATTTTCTCAGGTACAATTACAAGCGGCTCAAATGTACGAATTCTTGGTCCGAACTATCAACCTGAATCATCCAACGATGTACAAGTTCGAAATGTCACCAGTGTAGGTGTGATGGTCGGCGATCGGTGTATACCAATGGCTGCCGTACCTGCAGGTAATGTTGTTGCTTTGAACGGCATCGATAAATGTCTGTTGAAAACGGCAACTGTTACAACATTTGAGAATGCGCACAATTTTCGAGTCATGAAATTTTCTGTTAGTCCTGTCGTGCGCGTCGCTGTCGATGTCCGTGATCCAACTGATTATGCCAAACTAGCCGATGGACTCAAAAAGCTTGCACAAGCTGATTCACTTATACAAGTACTCAACGAAAATAAACAGCATGTAATTGCTGCTGCTGGTGAACTTCATTTAGAAATTTGTTTAGCCGAACTCGAAAAAGTACATGCCCGATGTCCATTGAAAGTAGCTACACCGATTGTGACCTATCGAGAAACGATTACCTGTGAATCATATCAAATTGCATTTACCAAAACAACAAATAAGCATAATAAATTTTTCATGAGTGCTTCACCTCTTCAACCTGAGTTAGTCGAAGCTATAGAATCAGGCCGTATCACAGCCAAACAAGATCCGAAAGTACGTTCGGCTATTTTAGTCAATGAATTCGGTTGGGATCCTATTTCAGCAAAAAAGATTTGGTGTTTTGGTCCAGAACATAATGGACCTAATATACTAGTCGATTCAACTAAAGGTATCGACGGCTTGATGAACATTCAAGATGCCGTTATTGCCGGATTTCAATGGGCAAGTGAAGAAGGTGTTCTTGCTCAAGAAAATCTACGTGGTGTTCGAATCGATTTACTCGATGCGGAAATTCATCGAGATTCGGGTACGTTGAATTGTTGATGCCATTCTAATAACTAGAATCTATTTTCCCTTTTCTTTTCTCATGATAGCTCATCGTCGACCAGATCAACTCATTCCAGCAATCCGTCGATGTCTATTAGCTGCTATACGTATGGCTGATCCACGTATACTTGAACCCATATTTCTTGTTGATATCGAATGTCCAACACGTATGATCGGTAAAGTTTATTCAACATTAAATAAACGTCGTGGACAAATCTGTGAAGAAAATGCATTAAGTGGAACAACATTATCTCGAATAAAGGCCTTTTTACCAGTTAATGAATCGTTCGGCTTTACAGAAGAATTACGTCACGCAACAAGTGGTACAGCTTTTCCACAATGTCAATTCGACCATTGGACTTTATTACCTGGCGAACCACTAGAAGTCAATACAAAATGCGGCATCATTGTACAGGAAATACGAAAACGCAAAGTTCTACCTGAACAAATTCCAACATTCGACTCTCTCATCGATCGACAATAATTATTTCTGTCAATATTCCAACATTACATCTAACTATTTCTATAAAATAGATTTTTTAAAATATATTCTTGTTGTTGTAATTACTAAAAGTACAGAATTATAATAATAAACCTAATTTTCAATCTTATCTGACATATCTTGAAAAAGTAAGAGCATAATGTTTTAAAGCAAACTGAGAATGACTAGTGGAGATTTATATTAATTATTGACAAGAAGAAGATTTGTTTTAAATAAAATCTACATAGATAGGAGGTCTACGAAAAACAACTTCACTAGATGCAGGTGCGGCTGCGAATCTAGAGTAGATCCACACACCATACCACACACATACAGAACGAGCCTATATAGAGGAATTTTGGATGCGCGATCAGAAAAGTGTCAACTGAAAAAAAAAGAAAAAGATTTTCAGTTTTTTCCAAAAACAGCTTATTTTTCGAATATGTGGTGACGAAAATCTTTAATAAGTTTGGGAAAAAATGAGCTGCCCAGTAAAAAGTTTTGCCGTTTCTGAAAGATCACATCACGGGCTATCTTCTCCTGCACTTATCTCAATTTCGACCATTCTGACGAAAAGTAATTTTTTGGAGGGAGAGGGGCGGCTCAAATATAAGCTTACGAAGTTCAAGTTTTTTTCAAATTTAAGTGCCAATTTCAATGAATTAAAATTGAATTAAAATCTTTCAGATTCGTTTTTTGGATTTAACAAGTTTTCGTAAATTTAGATTCTTCATTCCCCATGTAAAAATCGCTAAAAATTTAACGATCTTAACGGAAAAAGATCTTACGTTTTTCACCTCCTTAACTAACGAATTGGCTTTTTCGCAAGTTTCAGATACTATATTAGAAGTTTAATTGATAAATATAGCACTTGATAATTAATTGAGTTTTGGGATAACGTATAAAATCAATATTTCAAATTGTTTTTAAGGACTCATAACAATATTTGTAAAGTTTTTGTTTTTCTTTCACATCACTTTAGATTTTATTCTTACTTGTATTTAGTTTTGCATCATTATGTATCAATTACTTTCTAGAAAGTTATGAAATTTAGAACAAAAGGCGAGCAATTTAGATCATTCTTCTAAGATAGTCTAATGAAGAAGACGTTTACAAATTTGTTTTTAAAGAAATTTCACAAAGTCAAAATTAACTTAATCAGTTGAAACTGCTTGTATATTCGACTTGTTTCTACCGGAGCGTTCAATAAGATCCTTCTGAAATCCTTGTTTTTCTCTGGTACTCGAAACTTCGATAAATATCGATGGATCAAAAACTACTCGAAGAGTCGAACATAGGTGTCTCATAGGACAATTGTCGAGCAAGCGTTGCACCCATCATATCATGTTTATTGTCTGCTTGGGATTTTTTTTTGTCAATTTTTCTATGTTATTACGTCCGTGACTGCTTGAGCATACCTTGTTACGACAGCATTCGATGCTGGGTTCGCACATAGAAAAATTGGCAAAATATCATCACAAATAGCAATACTTGTCAAGCCATCTTCTCTGCATTTACTAATATGGCGTTAGTATTTTTTTCAGCAGTCATACATTATAGTATAAATTTTGATTTAAAATCAACATAGCTAAAATCAAATCGAAAATAGTCGAATCCTACGCAATGTATTTGGAAGTGCTCCACAATCCTAAACGGACCCTCTCACTGACATGTGTCATCGGTGTAATTATGATGTACTTCTGGTGGATGTGTCGAGATTCGTATAAATTATTGTTACAAAATTCTTCACAATAATGCATATTTGTCATTATGATGTTAAGGAAAGTGACGCTGCGGTAAGAATGAATTCTTGACTTTTCTTATGTTGTGTATGAGATATGAGATAAGATTCTTTTGCACACTCACTGTTCTACTTCTTTTCTTCTGATCCGTGCACTATTACACAACACCTTCGTACACTTGCGAATAACTAAAGATGAAATTTGTTGTTGTTTTTGTGATACTCGTTGTCGCTCTTGTACGGGAAGCTAATGGGGCGTATGCTAAAGCCCAAATGTTTTTGCAGAAATAAATGAATTTATTGGAACAGTCAGTTGTTACGCGGAGAAAGTAGCTTGGGGCGTTGTTATCTCTGGTTACATAGATCGTCTGAGACCTATGGCAACATTGATAAGTCTATTGTTATACTTTAGTTCGTCTATATTTTGAAGAAAAAATAACCAATTTAATATTTTTCGTTTACGCATAATATATTGTAATTTTTCTTCATCATTCTGCAATCATGATAATATATTGTCATAATATGAGCCCTCCCACCCTGAAAAAAACTGTTTTAGTTTTTAATAGTAGGGGACTGTCATTTTGAACGTTCTTTTGGTACATTTTTAGACATCGACAGAAAATGACTAGATCTAGGAATTCTAATACCATGCTTTGGTTACAACTTTTCACCCAATATATTAAAAAAGTTCTGAAAACTACAAACGGTATAAGCTTTCAGAATTAGAAAGTACTCATACAAAACGAAATTCAAACAGTTTGTCTATACAATTGGGATAGTTTCATTTTCTCTTTGGACCAACACCAATTCGAAGGTTTTATCTCAAAAATTACGACGAAACGTTTTGAATAAGTGAAAGTCGTAGAAAGTGGTAACTGTTTTGATATAATAATTAAAAAAAAAAAGAAATTGTTTCATAAGAAACTTAGAAAGACTTTTCGAACTATTGAAAATCTATCAAAAACTCTTCAAAATCTTGGTTCTCTCAAAGTTTTATGCATTTTGGAAATCTGGAATTTATCGACATTTTCGATTTCGAAGATCTGAAAGTCTATCCATTTCTTACATGGATTTTCGATTTTTTTCGCAAGCCCATAGGTTTCTTGTTGGCTCGGAAATCTTTGACGAATTTCGAATTCTGTCTGAGAACCAAGTTATGTATTTCTATATGAAATTACAACGTTGTTGAAGCACGAAAACCTCAAAGATGGCTCCCAAAAACCAGTAATGAATATGAAAACCATTCCAGATGCATTCTGAGATTTCCCAATTAGCTTCTAAATGCATTTCGATTTTCGAGGCAGCGATTATTTTTGAGTGGAATGCAATGCGATTTGTACCAGTGATGTATCTGCTAGAACGCTTTTCAACCAAAAGTCAGCGCTCTGTTGCAAAAGAATTGAAGAAACGACGGATGAATACTGTTTATAAGTAAAACCTGTCTTGGGGGTCACCACAACAAACACTTTGAAAGGAAAATACTCATTCTTGGAACGAGTCCTGATAGCTAATTATCTATCGTAAAAGTTTCACAACCCATCGGGGATAATCATAATTGTACAGCTGGTGGTGCCCATTTCAATCCGTATAGTAAGTTCAATTCTTAACAATACAGCAATGACCTTCACAAGTCATCTATTATGATAGATGTATCTCATGGGATGACTGGAGATCCACTTTTGAAACGGCATATCGGTGATCTAGGCAACATTGAAACAAATGTTTATGGTACAGCCTATATTGGATTAGTTGATCGAGTCATTTCGGTTGGATTCAATAATATAACAAATATTATTGGTTTACCTCTCATGATTCATAGTTTGACTGATGACGGCGGTCATACTGGTAAAGGTGAAAGTAACACGACGGGGTAAGTGTTCATATAATGAATTGTCATCTTCTTTTATTGATATCTTCATCGAATTTTCAGAAATGCCGGTCCTCGCATAGCATGTGGAACAGTACTTCCTGGTTGAACAACGGCTTTTCATACTTTTAAGTTTTCCCATCTGTATCAATCTACCAAAAGACCTTTCTAAATTTTTGTATTTCATTTTTAATAATCATTGCTTCATTTCAAACAAAAAATGATGAGGATTTTCTCAAACATGAAGCTATCGACGAAACAAGGAACATGTAGTTATTTATGAACGATCTCTTTATTTTGAGTAATGGACAAATCTGTGCACTAAGCTTATATCAAATTCAGGATGTTTTCATGTAAAAGAGGAATTACGAGCCTATAAGGCTATAGTGTGTAATATCCATCATATAGTCAAAAGTACAACAGTTAGACTTGCAACTTTTCAGAATGGTAAGTGAGATCAAGTGAAAAGTTAATTTGATGAAAAATGTG